ATCCTCTCGCTCCCTCTCTCTTTCCCCCTATCTCTCCCTCTCCCCCTATCAAACCTCTCACTCTCACTCTTTCCTTCTCCCTCCCTCTCTCTCTCTCACCCTGTCTCTCAGTCTCTCCCTCTCCCTCTCTCTCAATCTCTCTCTGTCCCTCCGTCTCTTTCTGTCCCTATCTCTCCTTCACCCCTCTCTCTCCCACTGCCTCACCTTCTCCCTCTCCCTCTCCCACTTCCCCTCCCTCTCTCTCTTTCTCTCTCTCCCGAACGAGGGGTTATCTATGCGAAAACACTGCGATCGTGATGCACATTCATTTCTTTGTTATCGATGCCAGTGCCCGGTGTCGGCGCTTACGTGGGGCCACAACGATAGGAGACTTTTCGTGGCGACAGGAGCACGTATTCACGCGGCCTGGGTGTCAAGGTAACTCGTGTCACGCGTTGATACGAGATTCTCTCCGTAACTGGCCCGATCTCGGGTCTGCCGAGCGACAGTTATAGAGATGAGGGTGTATACTACATTTTCTTGTTTCCGAACGTAGATTAGGATGCCATCGAAAAAGAAAGAAGGACTGACTTCGGACCTTTAAATTCAACAATCAATATTCTTGGTTTAATTTTTCCATAAGTGAAACTTTTACCATTGTACCGATCTCGTTTTCCTGACGAAAATAACAGCAAACACTATATGACTACGAGATACAGTAAATTTTCCCTAACTGGCGCTCAGATGGTGCACAAAAATGGGCAATTTGGGAACAGGAGATACGATTAGTCGAGCCTTGCTGCTCGTTTTTATAGCTGTTGACAATCGTTTAATATAATAATAATATAATAATCGTATAATATATATATATAATATAATATATAATATAATATATAATATAATATATATAATAATATAATATAATATAATATAATAATCGTATCCCCTCTTCCCAAAATTGTCCATTTTTGCGCAATTTTAGCGCCAATTAAAGAGAACTTACTGTAATCGTAATTGCTCGTAGAATATATTGAAATCCAAAACTTTACTCTCTTTAGACCGATAATTATGTCGTGTCATAGCGTTGCGTGGTGTTTCACAAAAAAAGAATAAAAAAATGAGAAAAGTTGGGGTTACGATAAAGATCTTTTTGTCAATTACGGAGAGAATACTGTATCGCTGCTTATTTTTCACGCTAACGTGCCTAAAACTGGATGCGTTCGTTTCGCAGACGGGTCGGCTCGTTGCAATTGTTGTCGCGTTTTGCGGTGAGAGCTACTCTAACCAGGGAATCCAGTGTTCGACAGCTTCCGTTGCCACCGAGATTGAGAGCGTCGGTAGCTGCACTTTTCGCTAGTACAATAAGGTAATCGATCTGGAGGTTTCGTTTAAATTCGCTCGAGCTCTCAACCCTTGCCCTATAAAGCTGCATTGGGCGCGTTATGGGCAGTGTTTAATCGATATTGGCGCTGTTAGTCTCTTTTCGATGCGGATGCAATTTATTAGAAAAAAAGCGAACGAAAGCCTAGATCATTGATCTCTAAATTGTTGGCACGACTTTATTGTAATCAAAGATAATTGCAAAGAAGATTCCCGGTGGTCACCTTGCGGATACCATTTCTTCACAATTACATTTCTTCATAATTACAAGTTTTTCGGAACTTCAATACTTAAATATCGACGAGAAGAAAACAGAATTATAGTCAAACTTCACGAGAACATTCGTACTTAATTTAATTATTAAAAATGTCTATCAAACTCGTCGAAGTACGGCGAAGTAAATGATTAAGGCAAATAGATAATACTCGCCCATTTTCACGCGTGCACTTGAATTTCGCGTGTTCGATACAAATGCGTCGAATGAGCGAATGAAATAGGAGACTGTTAATCGGATTAAACACTGCCATCTTGCACTTTTCCAGCTACCGGGACGCAAGGTGTCAAGTTATAATAAGCATATTGTCTCCTAACCGGATTCGCGCCTAAAAGGGCGGCTTTACGTAACCGGTATATTTCGATCCGATAATAAGATTGCGCAACCTGCTTTCAGATGTTCGGTGCCAGAACCAAGGGAGCTCAGGCATTTCGTATCGCGTCCACCTCCGGGAGGAGGAAGGTTGCACTGCACCATGCTGAGGCACGCGGTGGAGCCGGTCCCATGTTACACGTTATACTTAGAGTACCTCGGAGGGCTGGTGCCCCTCCTGAAGGGCAGGCGGACCAGCAAAATCAGGCCGGAGTTCGTGATATTCGATCCGCAGAGTCAGGACACTCTGCAAGTCGTGGAGGATACCTCGCAATGTCCGTCGTTTAGCGATGGTTCCGACACGGAAAGGGACACGGCCGATCTGTGCGGATCGCCCAGGAACAAACGGAAGAACAGGAGAAAAAGAGGGGAGGATAAGTCGAACGAGGAGAACGATGATCTCACCTACGTGGACACTCTGCCCGAGGTAAACTTTCGGTTTGCGACTCGATCCTTTCCATTTTATGGAAACAAGGGGGAGGGATGCCAAATGAGTTACCGAAATCGTACTCCGCGGATCGACGCGTTGAGAATCGAAGTTGTTTCATTAATGAAACAATAACTGCGGGGTTCATTGAAATTAGCAATTCTGCGAGACTCTTCTAGAAGCTATCTAGCTTATAGACTTGAAGGTTCGCGTGACCGTAGCGTGACAGGAACTCATTGTTAAAGGTGTGACGAGGATTGACACCCGTGTCAATTTGACGTAACAAGGTATCAATGGATTCCTTGTTCTTTCTTTGGTAGCATGGGAGGATTAGGTTGACTCATAAGTTCCTTCGTGACTTAAAATATGTGTTTCCAATCAAAAGAACCTATGAAAATACGTAAAAGCTGCAAAATCCGCGCTTTGATCCTCTCTGATCTTCGTTCTTCATGCTTGATAAAAAAGACTTTGCATAGAATCGACGTTGAGCTGCTACCTACTGCTACCTATTCCTACCTATTTGCTACTACCTACTACTACCTACTACCACCTACTACCACCTACCACCACCTATTACCACCTACCACTACCTACTGACCCAAAGAGCTCTAGCTGCGGAAAATTTCTAGAGAATGGCGCGCGTATCAGCGACGAAGGAAAGCATCGGCGAAGTCTCGGCAAGAGAAATAGCGTGATGTAGCAAAGTTTAACGAGCTCTTTCGGTCTTAGAGTGCCGCGGAGGTGGTCGCGTGACCGGTAATGTGACAAGACGTATCTGTTTGTAGCACGCGAGGCTCGTCGAAGTAACGTCAAATATCTGGGGCACGAAATTCAAGTTCCACGGATTGGCAGACTCGGTGCCGGCGAACCTGGGTCAAGTCACCTATCGGACGTCGTTGCTGCACTTGCAGCCGCGGCAAATGACTCTGGTGATGACGGAGCTGCGCGACGACGTTCCGGCAGGTACGTTCCCGCAACGAAGAAGCTGCGCGAAGGTGAACATCGATCCCGTCGACTGACACCGTTCGCCTCCACGCAGGTCCAGATCCCACGTTCAACCCGAACCTGTTCTCCGAGGACGAGGAGGAAACGTTCCAGGAGCTGCAAGGCGCGTCGAGGAGCACGCCGGATGCCCAGCCGCCGCCGATCGCGCCGATGACGCCGCGGAACGCACGACTGAACTCGAATCGTCCGAAATCACAAATCTCCAACCAGTTCATGGCCAACGAAGCCCTGCCCGCCACGCTGTCCAGGGTCGAGAACTACGAGAACGAGCTGCCCTACGTGGACCTGCAGGAAATTGGGAACCTGTACGACAATCTGAGGACCGCGCCGGCGAACACCTATCGGACGCCGCCGAGACACAACCCGCCGAGGTGTTGCGACGTGCCGGCCCTTCAGTCCCCTAAGAACGCGGTCGCGCCCACGCAAACGATCATCGCGACCTCGAACACGGGGACCGACTACGCGAACAACATCCAACGGATGAAGACCGTTCTGGCCGACCAGCAGGCTGGTATGGTCACGAAGAAGGAGCTCGAGAACAACAAGTTCAATCAGATATCCCAGGACGACAAGGCCGTACTGTCGTCCTGTCCGACGACGATCATTCCCATGTCCATACACAACGGCCAAAGCCCGGCCGCGGAAGCGTCGAGCAGCCGCGACTGTCCCCAAAGCTCCATCGTGAACGGTTTGGACAACAACAACAGTTGTTCCCAGCCGCAGGCCATCTTCCTTAACGGTGTTCAGAGTAGGAAACCTAGCCACAACTCTGGCAGCGGCGCGACGGCCCTGGGCCACGGGCAGAGCAACGGCGCCTTCAGCAAGAACGGTATACACTTGGCCAGTAACCATTCGCCCGCGTGTTCTTATCAATTTCCAGAGAACATCGAGCAGTGCGTCGGCCAGTCTTGCGCGCACTGCACCTCGAAGTTCAAAGATTTCAAGTCGCACGAGTCCTGCGGCAAAACGAACGCCAGCTACCTGCCGACCTGCGGCCCGAGCAGCAGGTCCGAGGAGATGCGTTTCACCGACGACGAGACCCGCGGCGAGGCGGTCGCGTTGGAACATTCCCGCGGCGTTCATCGAACCCCCACGGTCGTCAGTATCGGTCCCCTTTGCGTCAACGACTCTATAGTGAGGAGCTGCAGCGTCGGCTACCTGGACATGGTCGACGCGCAGCTGGTCCCCTGCGACGTCGCTCTGAAGATGCTCAGAAAAGAGGCGCCCAACAAGAGGCTGGTCCTCGTGTCGAGGAAGACCAAGCGGAGAAAAAAGAACAAGGCTCAGCTGGAGATCGGACAGCAGACCTCCAAGTCGCCGAGGCTTCGCAACTGCGGCAAATCCAGGAGCCTCGACTCCAGCGACATATTCCCGGTGAACGATCACGTCGCCGCGCCGCCCAAGTTGCCCGAACACATCGAAGAGACGGCGGGGATCGTCAACGCCGAAATGACTGAGGGGAAGAGCAACGAGTCCCTGGAGAAGACGCCGGACGTCATAGCGGTGTCCGTCGAGTGCGCGAAACGCGTCGCCGGGGCTATCACGGTGAACTCTCCTGTCAAACCGAGCCGACTAGAAAGTCCTAATTCGCCTGCTAGGTGAGTTTATGGCAGCAAGACTGCGGGTGTTATTAGACAAATACAGGGTTACGTCAAAAGTTTACAGTTTAGCCCAAGGTTATCCGAAAATTATTGTACAAGCGGGAAATGAGAGGTTCCTGAGGTGATTTGAAGCAACTTTTTCCTCAGCGAAAATGCAATCCGCGGCTCCGTTTACGAGTTATTAACGAAAAACAGTGACCAATGAGAGGCGAGATTGGCTGGCGCGAAGCGGCCGAGCCAACGAGAGGTCGAAGCCCAGTTCCGCTGATTGGCTGGGCCGCCTAGAGCCGAGCGAGCTCGCCTCTTATTGGTCAGTGTTTTTCGTTAATAACTCGTAAACGAAGCCTTGGATTGCATTTTCGCTAAGGAAAAAATTACTTCAAATGACCTCAGGAATTCCTCATTTCTCGCTTGTACAATAATTTTGGAACACCTTGTATTCAGTTGCGAACAAAAGATTAAGACGAAGGAAAAGAAAGAAATCGGTACAAAGTCCGCTGTAGTCGCAAATCTCCTCTGAAACGACGTTTCACTGACCTGTCGAATGTTTGGAAACCTTGGCAGATGCAAGTTCCATTTTTCAATTTGGTTATCTCTCGTTATCAGTTTCATATACGTGGTCGTCATGCTCTTAATTTAAAATATTCCATCTGTCTTCTAACTTTTTATCGTTTCAAATTTACGATTACAGTAAATTCTCCCCAATTTTCCTTCAGCTTAAACATTAAACAAACATGGAAAATTTGAGAAGAGGAGATACCGATTATAGTTTATGATAGCTTGTGAGCCTCGCGGCTCATTTTTATAGTTGCCGATTGTCAACAAATATAAAAACGAGATGCAAGGCTCGAATAATCGTATCTCCTCTTCCGAAATTGTCCATTTTTGTTCACAAGCTGAAAGAAAATTAGGGAGAATTTACTCTCCAAAAATTTGATTAACATGAACTCTGCGGCCCTAATGCTCATGATTTCTGCAACCTTCTTTCTCGTCGCTGTTCCCGCTCGCGGAGCCTGTAATAGAGGATTCAACGGCAATTTGACAGAGATGTCGCGCGATTTAGAACAGTCAGGGACGACGTTAATGTCGCTTAATTTTGACGTAGCAGCCGTCGTAACTCGTATTCTCTTGTTACGTTCTACAGAGGCTCTAGTCCAAGCGGTTCACCGGCGTCATCCTTAGACGGTCTTGCAGCTCGGCTGCGAGATTTCGATGAAAGTCATTCTTTGCCACCGCCGTCACCTCGTCCATCGTCTAGGTAAGCACGTACAATGTGTGCATCGTGTACGTGAGTACTATGACAACGGTACATGTTTCGTGGATGTTCAAACAGTAATTCAGTTTAAATGACCAACAGATTTTACGATATATTTCTTAGATTACCTAGGAGTTCCCCAAGCAGTCCGGCTCCCTCGAAGAAAGGCAAAAGACCGGCGTCGGCGTCGCCAATTAGAAGGCGGCTTCTATCGAGTCCCTTATTAAGCAGAAAAACACGAAAGAGCCGGGGCGAAAGTTCGGACGAGGAGGGCTTGCTTCCAGATGAATCGTCGATGAACTATAGAGACCTTGAAACTTTTCAAAAGGCGCAGTTGCGCCAGAAGGTTCGTAAAACCGATCGCCACGATAATTGACGAGCAGTTGAAAATTTCGCAGCAGTTGATAGTTTTATCTTACTCGTCGTTTTATCCAAAAAAAAAGATCTGATCTAAATGTAAAGAATTCTTTCATATTAAGAAATTTTTGCAATTCCATAGATCGTTTAGATTAATTCGAATTTAATAGATTATCTACGAACGAATAATTTATTATTTTCCTTTTTCTATACAAATTTATTCGAATATATGTCTTAACGTAGGCTTTTTAAAACGACTTGGAGTATATTACATTGAAAAATCTGTGGTCATAGTAATTAAAATATATGAATATAAAAGAGCATAATGTTGTAGCAATAATATACTTATAACAATATGTAGTTAAAGCAGAAAGGGGCGGGAGTGTCCGGTCACAAATCGGAAACAGCGAAACGGGAGCTCGTGATGCACAATAAAGCGCCAATGTGGAACGAATTCAGCCAAGTGTATCAACTTGATTTCGGTGGCAGAGTGACCCAAGAGAGCGCGAAGAATTTTCAAATAGAGTTCAAGGGTCGGCAGGTACGCGGCGTACGATCTTCTAATCTAATCTCTGTTTGCCCCATACGGCCGAGTAACTGCATTCGTTTCAATTTCCCATCAGGTCATGCAATTTGGGAGGATAGATGGGAACGCCTACACACTAGATTTCCAATATCCTTTTAGCGCATTACAAGCGTTCGCTGTTGCCTTGGCGAATGTTACACAACGGCTCAAGTAACTGACAGTCTTCGGTTCGCCATTTGATATAAGTACGTAAATTATTCTAATTGCATACGTTAATATCGTGATATAATAATATCATGCGCTTGCCATTGGTCGTGTATTAACGTCTACATGTATGAATATCGAACACGCGACGTTGAGATGTGTTTCGTTAACGTACAATTTCCATTTTTCGAGTTACATGTTAACCATTTGCAGTCGGAGCTATCTTAACTCGAAATTCGAAATAGCTTTTCTCACCTTTCCATTTTATTTAAACTAGTGCATTTTATACATGTGAAATCGAATTTTGTGACGCATGCAACAGCTACAGCTACACATTTTACAGTTTTTTTTAATACAAATAAATTTGACAATGTTAACCCTTTGCACTCGCATGGCGACTCTGAGGCGCCACTAAAAATTGCTATAGTATATTTTTCTAAATGATTGTAACGGTATCAGATTCGTTTATATTTTTAAAAAGATTGTTAAAACTGCAAGTATTGTACTTGCCAATAAGCTCAATTTCATATGGATAAATCGTACTAAATCGTATAAAATGGAAATACCGTAGATCAGAAAACATGTTTTCGATTTCGAATTAAAATAGCTTCGGCTGCAAAGGATTCGAATTACTTTGAAACATGATAATAAGAATTTTTAATGACGCCTTAGATTCGCCACTCGAGTGCAAAGGGTTAAATCGATTTGGATATTAGGGAAATTATTAAATCGTATATTGACGGAACAAAATGTTATTTTTCTAGAAAATAACATTTTCCATTCGAGATTACGATGCGTGACACAATAAAATTTTAATTATGATGATACAGCATTATATTCGCATGAGCGTACAAAATTGATTGCGCGTTTTAATTCTGGCTGCACAGTAAATTCCATGATATTTCGTATTAGATTTATGCGGGCTAAATAAACGCCGTTTTCTAGAATCCATTCAGTTTTAAAGAAATTACTTATTTATTTAGTTTTAAAGAAATTGGCCGCATAAAAATGTGAAACTGTCTCGTCGTTCGAAAATATTTGCTTCGTCGCATTCATCAAAGAAGTTAACTTAGCTGAAAGACACTTTACATTCGTAAGACCGTAATTGTTCTCGCAAACCGATTTTAAAAATACGAAACCAACTCCCAGGTTCGCGTGGAATTCGGAGCAGGAGTCCCAGGAGCGCAACCCGGGCTGCACGTTATACCTAAAACGAAATATTCGTCCAACAAGAAAAAAAAAAGAGTAAGAAGAAAATCTAGCGAGACGTAGGGAAAATTAAAAAGCTGTAACAAAAATACGCTACACATAGAGAAACCGCAGAGGGGTGAAATAAAAAGACATCTTTAAGTACAGCTTTACGAGCGTGTAATAGAGCCACATGTCTTTCGATTATTAAAGCTAGTGACGGGCTAGAGTAAGACTTTAATTAAGAGGCAAGTGATCGTTCCGAAGATGGGACTGAAAAGCAAAGGGAGATCATCAGCCGTCGCCGCAGTAGAGACATTTCTTCGCGGGAGAAGAACTCGAAGCATATGGCCTTGTGTGTAGCGCGGAAACGAAGAAGAATTGTTGGTCTGAGCGCCTTCTTGGGGGCCTTACGCGGGGCCGTTCGAACCACCAACGCCTTCAAAGCTGCAAAGTACTTCGATTTACCTCGCTTTCGCGGGTTTTTTTAGCGAGGACCGTTCGCGATGGAGCGATTCGTAACACGAACGGACGTGGACAGAGACACGTGGATATCGGGGGCGGGAGGGGGGAGGGGAGATAGATATTCGTGGCTGGGGAACCGTGGTGGAAAAAGAAAAGAAGAAAAAGAAAATAAACGGGAAAAAAGAGAAAAAACACGATTTCGTTGAAATGCTTCTTCGCCGTACACCGTCCAAAGATACATTTCGTTTCTCCCAACTTCGAGCGCTCATTTTTGTATAGTTTATGCGACACGTTGGAGTCTAGTAAATGCTGTTGAAAGTTCACCTCGTTCATTTTTTGCGGTCCGCCGGATGTATTCGAATTTTATATACAACGTATATATGTATATTGACGGACTCGCACACACTCGCGCGAGCGTTTCATGTTGTTCGATTTAAATGTTTCTTAACGCGTATTTAATAAAAGACGGAGAGAAAGACACAAAATGAAAGCGTAGAGGAGAGAGAGAGAGAGAGAGAGAGAGAGAAAGAGAGACGACAAACGATCGTTTGATCACGCTAATAACGGTAACTTTTAACGTCCGGCCTGTCGTTCGTCCTCGTCGAGGCAGGGCTGACGCGACTTGGGTGGGGAGGGGGGGTGGGATAGCAAAATGTTTCAAACAGAAGGGTGAAAAACGATTTTCGCCTGTACGATGCGCGCGAATCGTACGCGTCGAACTAACTGTCGTGTGTACTTAACCCATGATCGTTGTACTTCATTCGCCTAATTGTAAGTAACGTGGAAGATTAACGTCAGGCCTACGCGAGGAGCGCGCCAATGGGATACCATTTGTTTTTTTTTCGAATCGGAATTCCGAGGGTGGGGCGCCTGAATCGATCGATCGAGCTGGGGCCCGTGTCGAAATCAAACTTAACTGGCCACTCGAGGCCCTTCTACCGTCATCCCCCGTAGTCTAAGAGGTGGCCTTGAACGTACAGTTAAATTTGCAACTGCACTAGGAATATGATTCTAAATTTCGTTGCTACGTAGAATATATACACAGAACCAAATAGCGCAATCGTGGTAACGCGACGCGTCTCGTCGATCCTAGGAGACATAGATGCATTCGTTTCGAGAGGATAAACGACGGAGGGAGGTACTTCTCGCAGTCGAATCGTATAGAATTGACCTTTGTCGATTCGTTTGTTGGCTCGGTTCACCGTGCTCGCAGCCGTGCGGGATGCTTTCGTTAATTATCGTGTGATCGTTGTGTCCTACGTGATGTGATTATAGTTGAATCAATGTTATTCGGTTACACCTGTGAACGCGAATCAAAGGCTTGCTACGTTCTCTATTTGCTATTTCATCGCTGCGTAAACAAGAGTTTTTACTTCTCTCGTCTCAGTTCGTCGTTAAGCCAGACGCGTGAGGAACAGTCGAAGTCAATTCTTTCCGTGGCCCGGCTATACGTAGAAACCAACAGAGTGTCTTAATCCATGTTGCGACCATAATTTGTCAGGATTACGCTGATTGTTTCAATAATCTCCGATAGGATAAGAGTCTACAAACGTTTTATATAGTTCGTCTCGATTTAGAGATATTTTAGAACGAGCTTTTTTCCGACCGTATTTATAGCGAGTGTTCAGGCCGCCCCATACTCGTCGGTTAGCGAATATAGTCCTATCAATATTTATACACATATTGACAGTGGTACTGGCAATATACATATAAATCCGCTAGGTCATACGAATCGTCTTTGTTTTCTTAGGCAAACAGTTACGTCCTGAATTACTTAATGTCACCTGTAGCCGACAGCACGTACCTAACGCATGTATATCACATCAGCGATCGATCAGTTTTTTAGTTTTACACACCGTTGCATCTGCACCGCGGAACATGAACAACAAGAGCATGAGAGAAGATGTATTATACGAGAGGTTCCATAAGTTTGTGGGGAAAGCGAAGTTCGTCACGATATTATTTTCGGTGAACGTTTATCGGTACGTGTTTCCGCGAAATCAATTCGTGGAACAGAGAGAGGCTCGATAAAAAACATATTTTGCAAAGATCGAGAACGGCGTGACGGTATTTCGGATTCTTCGAATGCCTCTGCTTCGCTCGTTTCATTGTTGAGCCTTGGTTTAATTGTCCGGTGTCGCCTCGACGGAACATTTCGTATGAAATTTGTACCGTGTAATTTTTAAACATATGTTGACACAAACGTTTCGATTTGATCGCTTGCACCCAGAGATATCGGAGAACGAAACTAAGAAAATATGCACCGCGAGCTGTTCGCGAAGCTTCCCGGAAGAACTTCGTCGATTCTAATTTTGCCACAAACTTGTGGGCGTCTCGTATGAGGAAGCCTTAGTTACCAAAAGCAACGAACACCTGGAACATGAACGACGCACATTTTTAAATCATCGTGACAGACCGATCTTGACCACGTGACGGTGGTTCGCAATCCTCTGGAAGGTGACCATAAGTTCATACATAATACATATATCGGAGAACGTTTTGTATGAGACCCATAATAGAGTTTCCTTTATTTATGAAAGCCGGACGTGTCCGAGAAGTCATTTTAAGAAAAACAAAGTGAGAAAACAATTAAAAAAAAAAAGCGAAAAAAAAGAGGAGGAAGAGGAAGAAGAAAAGATAACAAAGAATCACGTTATAATGAAAGTTCCACCGATGGTTAAATTTTCATACTTGCACGAAATTTTGATATAAAAAGATCCGCATCAATGTGACATACTTATTTTTAATATGCATACGTCCTTATTGCATCTGCCGAACAAAAGACGGACTTAGGTCACGTAAGAAGCAACGTTTTTCTCCGCGATCACGATCAGTTCTTCGCGCACCGTTCTTTTTCTTTTCTTTTTTCTTTTTTTTTCTTTTTTTGAAGTCCTGTTACTGTTAATTGTACAATCGACGTTGTGCTTATCGCCAGTTACATCTACTCAATATTTTTCTTTGGATTTCAATGTAATCCACGCAAAAAAAAGAGAACATTAAACGGATCGAAATCAATTGACTGCTCATGATTAGCTGAAAATTATACAATTTTGTTGAATCAGAAGTGCACAGAATAATACTCGACGAAATTTTTTCGTCGGCTTAATTTAGTTAGACGTTGAATTTATGACATGATTTTCGTGCATGCAATTCGAACAGGCGATTTACAATTGTAATTACTAGACTGCGGATTTTATACACTCGTGACAGAGATGAACGAGACGGATAAGAAAATATATTTATGTAATATAAGTTCCTCGAAATTGACCTAGACAATTTTGATTTTGCATGAAAATCATGTGTCTAGTAATTATAAAAATCGTGAATTTAACAACACTGCATCGAGATGCAAATTGACATAGTGAATAGTACAAGAAATTATAGATCATTGAAGATAAGACACCTGCATCGATAGATTTATTTTCAATTCGATTATCGGCCATGAGCAGTTAATTGAACATTGTTTAATTGTATTCGTTTCGTGTAATCACCAAATGCTTATTTGGCAATGAATACAGTGCCTATACGTATGTATAATTGAGAATGAGGTGATCTATGAGTTAAAACAAGTGGCGTATGATACTGTCGGATGTTGCACGATGCTACTGTTGTACAGCAATTGTTATTTCACCGTATTATATACATGCATACACCGACCGAAGCGTTTGTAGCTACTGGCGCCAATCGTGACTGACAGTTCGAAAATGTTCGGCCTAGCTCAAGTCAGACTATGTACGTTGATCCATAGGTGGTAGTCTTTCTTTTCGTTGAATATATTCATATGTATATTATGTTCCGTTTACAAGCGTAACGATTTAAGAATATGCTTATATATAAATATATATATATGAAGAGACAAAATAAAACGCTATGTCACGTGTGAACATTTGTGACTGAGTATTAAATATGATAACGACACGATATACATAGTGTGCAAGTCGTATCAGTATTGTTTTTTCTCCAGCGATAAGATTGTTGATTTGTCGTCTTAGTGCTGAACAATCATTCAGTATATGTGCAAGCAGATTTTGTTACCGAGTACATTGATGATTATCAGACATTTGTAAATAAAAAAAGAAATTCTACACGTCAACGACATTTTTATTATACATATGATTTACCTAATAATTCTAACTGCTCAATGTTTATAACATTCTTGTGATTCTTGTAGTTCCTAACTTATAACATTACGGTTAAAATTCTTCCTTTCCAGTCATAATTTTTACAAATCGTATTAAAGATATGTCTCCGATTTCACTTAAAATATTATTTAAGTATTATAATATATATAATAATATAATATAATATAATATACTACATATATATATAATAATTATATATTATTATATATAAATATATATAAATATATAATATATTATTATATATTATTATATATAAATATATATAAATATATAATATAATAATAATATATTATTAAGTATTATATTTTAATAATGACT